AAAGAATGATCGAGCAGGAGGAAGCAGTGGGGCTGGGATGCGCAGGCACCCAAACGAGAGGCTCGTCTGCCAAGCCTCAGTCTTGATAGCCGAGAAGGGAAGCTTAACGGTGGGAGGCCTGCCAGTGGGGCAAGCCATCATAGACACCGGAGCCCACCATGTCTTGCTAGGCAAGGGCCTAGCGAAGCAGCTGAAGCTGGATCTACCGGGGCGCCTGGTAGAGAGAGGCATACTGCTGATGACCACCGAAGGGGGGGAGCCGAAGTGGATGCCGCGCACCCGAAGGCCCATCGAAGTGGTACTGCTGCCAGGGACAAAGAAAGAATACTGTATCAGGCTCAACTGAGGGGTCTCCGAGTCCGAGGACTATGACATATTGGTGGGCATGGAGCTACTCTACAGGGTGAGGGCCACCATATGCACCTGGCAGGAAAAAGTACTATACCGAGTGCAATACTAGGACCCAAAGAGCTCGGTCGGCACGCTGCCCGTAAAGTTTGTAAGACAGGAGCCAAAAGAAGCGTATCAAGCGCGAAGGAAGGACCTGTCAGGAGAGCTGGACGACTGGAGCTGGGAGAAGTACGCGCAGGAGTATGAGGGCAGGACAGAACGGAGAGTGAGAGGAGAGGATCCTCCCTCGCTAAAGGAAAGAGTAAGCCGAGTGTGGGCGCTGGAAAGTGCATTGTGTGTGCTGGAGCTGTACGGAGGCATAGGGACTGGATTAGCGGCGGCGCTGAAGGCGGGCTGCTTCGTCAGGAAGTTGGTGCATGTGGAGAAGGACCCGGTGGTACGCCGGATGGCTAGGCATCACGCCCTGAAGCTAATAGAAGACTACCCCCAGCAGATGCAGAGCACGGCCATCCCGGCAGAAGACGAGGCCACGGTGGATGACGTGAGGGATATCACAGAGGAGCAGCTGGAAAATTGGGGGCAAGTAGACCTAGTAGTGGCGGGATGGGAGTGCCAGGGCTATTCAAGAGCAGGAGAAGGAAGAGGGATGGAGGACCCACGGGGGGCATCCTTCAGAGATTTGCGGAAGGTACTGGAGGTGATACAGAAAAAGCAAGGAGAAGTGATCTACATCCTGGAGAACGTAGACCTGGGCGAGGACAAGCGAGAGCCAGTGAAGTCGGCGTTCGCCGAGATAGAAGCAGCGGTGGGAAGGGGAGTGCCAGTAGACGCGGCACAGCTGGGATCCAGGGCGCATCGGCCTAGGAGGTACTGGCAGAATGGGGTGTCAGAAGCCTGCCTGAGGCACTCCCTTGCACAGATGCAGCGGCCGGAGCCGAGGCTAGTGAGCGACATATTGGGACCCAACAGACTTCCGGCACCAGTGAAGATCTCGGACCACCCCTCTCAGTACCAGTGCAACGAACCCGGGAATCCGCGGCAGGCGCTGCCTACCTTGGTAGCCTACGAGGGACCATGGGGGTTCCGCATGGAAGGAGAATTGCCAGGACCTGGGATGGTGTACGACGCCAGGAGTGGGAAATGGGAAGAGCCGACGGCACGGGAAAGGGAAGCAGCCATGGGTCACCGATGGGATGCAACGGCGCATCCGAGCGTAACGGAGAAGCAGAGGAGGGCTGCGATAGGGCGAGCCATGGACCTCAATGTCATGAGCTGGCTGATTGAGACAATCCGCATGCACCTCAAGACTAAGGACATCCAGAGGGAGATAGAGATTAGTGGGAGGTACCAGGAGGATCTGGAAGTGGAAAGGGGGATGAGGCAGCTGCAAGCTATCGAAGAGCAGCAAGAGACGAGGATCAGAGAAGGATGGGCATGCATGGCTCTGGAGTGTGAAGGGGGCCGCGGGGCCGGAGGAGGAGGCAGAAGGAGGGGCGGAAGCTGAAGCAGAGAAAGGAAAAAAGGAGGAGAGGACACCCGAAGAAGAGTGGCCCATAGGCACAGGAATGGGGGCAGCAGCAGCCGAGCAACTGCAGGGAGTCCTAAAGCAACACAGGCAGAGCTTCGCCTACACCCTGCAGGAACTAGGGGAGTGCAAGTCCCATGTCACGGAAATTAAACTGACCACAGAGATGCCGATCTACCAGAGGAAGAGGCGGATGAGCCCAGGAGATATTGACGTGTGCATGGAAAAATGCGCGGAGCTACTGGAAGCAGGGCTGATACAGCGCTCAGAGAGTGACTATGCGGCGGCGACAGTGGTGGCAGCCAGGAAAGACCTCATAGGGGAAGTGTCGGCGAGGAGAATGTGCGGGGACTACAGGGGCTTGAACAAGGTGACGGTAGCAGACAGATACCCCATGTAATCCGCCGAAGAAATCTTTGATAAGCTACAGGGGGCAGTGGTGTTCTCAACACTAGATCTCAGGCAGGGATTCAACCAGATACCCATCAAGGCAGAGGACCGCAAGAAGACGGCCTTCCATGGGCCAGACGGATTGTACGAATGGAGGTGCATGCCTTTTGGCATGAAGAATGCCTCGGCGCTGTTTCAGCGAGTCATGGATGCAGTGCTGAGAAACGTGCCAGCAGCAGCCTGCTACATAGACGACGTCATAGTCTTCAGTCCGAGCCCTGAGCAACACGTCAAGGACGTGCAAGCAACACTAGAGGCCATCCAAGAAGCAGGACCGACCTGCCACCCAAAGAAGTGCGAGTTCGGCTGCAGCACGGTGAAGTACCTGGGGTTTGAGGTGCAAGGGGGAAAGATGAGCATCCAGCAAGCCAAAGTAGATGCCCTCAACCTTGAGGTGCTGCAGCTAGCCTCAAGAGTTCAGCCAAATAAATGTGGCTTCTCACTTCACTAGAACTCATCCTTGGATAAGGACCTTGCTCTAGTCTCTAAGACTTGTACCATCTTCTTGCTAATGATATTTCTTCTTCCTATTGTGCCTTAAGTTCACCGATCCATTTTCCTCAAAGTTAAACTGGTGAGTTTCTTGAAACAAATCAAACTGGTGAGTTGTTGAATCGAGTCAAACAGGTCAGTTTGTTGAACCACTGGTCATGTTGAACTGAGTCAGACTGGTCATTTTACTGAACTGACTCAAACTGGTCAGTTCGTTGAAGCGAGTCAAACTGGTCAGTTTGTTGAACCGAGTCAAACTGGTCAGTTTTTTTTAACTGACTCAAGCTGGTCAGTTTGTTGAACCAGGTCAGACTGGTGAGTTTGCTGAACTGACTCAAACTGTTCTGTTTGTTTATCTGACTCAAGCTGGTCAGTTTGTTGAACCGGATCAAACTGGTCAACTGTTGAACCAAGTCAAACTGGTCATTGTGTGGAGCCGGGTCAAACTTCTCACCGTTCGGGTCGAATTGTTTGCAGTTTAACTCGAACTGGTTGTGAGTGCTGAACACCCTCTTGTGGTTGTGATGTGGTCTTGTGAGATTTGACTGATGGTGGGACTTTTACTTAGCATTGGGTGATGTGTGATGGTCCAGTAAACTCGGCTTCCGGTTGCAATGGTTCAGGTGAGGTGGAGTGTTGAGCTTTGGCTGATGGTTGGGCTGGGTTTACCTGGATGGGGGGTGAAGTGAAGTGGGATGGTTAACTTCAGCTGTTGCTTGGGTTGGGTATTCTAGATAGTGAGTGGATTGTTTTTGAAGACTTAACTGATAGCCCCAAAATTACAAAATTGACAAACCAGTGGTCACTTTGCTAGCGTTCATGCACAAGACCTAGTACTTTGTATTTGCGATGGAATGGGTCAGGCCCTCAGATTCACTTTTAGGGACGTTGATGCATCAGGGTCCCTGTGAAAAAAAGGCTGATTTTCAGTGTTCCTAGAAAAAAATGCCTGATTTTTCAGGGTTCTTCAAAAAATAACCCTGATTTTCATCCACACTAAACGTTCGACATAATTACATACCTAACAACTTGAGCCAATCCAGGGAATCAAACCTCAGACCTTACACTTCGATTCCGATTTTACTAACAGCTGAGCCAATCCAAGCTATCAACTATGGGTCCTACAAAAGTATAAGTGTCGGAGTGCTGGTCATCTCGAGCGTTTTTCAGGAAGGAACAGGAATGTGCATTCAGTGTACACTTCGATAAAAGGCTGGAAACTCAGTGTTAACTATGAAATGAAGTCTGAAAAATCAGTCTCACAAAACTCTACACACTGAAAAACCAGTGTAGGTACACAAAAGTAGGCTGAAAATCAGGAATTTCAGGGGAAAATTCCTGATATCGTAGGGCCTGGAATGGGTACACAAACTTCACAAGACCACAGCACAACCACAAGACTAACCGAACCTAACGTCTTTACTCTAACTGAGGTTGGTTCAGGTCGTACCATTGTGCATTGTGCCTACAAATAAGTTTGGCTCGGATTGACTCGCATAAGTTTGGCCAAACCGAACTTACTTTTTGCTATGCCAAACTATACAAAGATCCCTGAGACGTGTTGAAAGAGTCAGCGTTGGTGAGCCACTTCCATACAGGTAGGCAACCAACACAAGTAGATTGTCATGTCACACTCTGCCTTTTTTTACCACACCATCTGCTGCATTACCTCTGCAAAACCAACACCTCATATCCAGAATGATACTCAACCAACTTCTTAGCACCTCTGCAGAATCTGAAGCTGCCTGCGTAGAGGTCAAGTAAAAAGCCCTGAGACGTGCAAAAATTCAGCTCATCATCGGCGAGCCTCATCCACACATGTAGGCAATGCAGTTTCAACACACATAATGATATAGTCACGTATAATATATGTTTCACACAGTAATAAATTTTTTTTTTTTTTTGTAGCACACAATAATTCCACTCTGCCTTTGTTCCCCACACCATCTGCCGCATCACCACTGGAAGATCCAGAATGAAACACCTCATATTCAGAATGAAACAACTCATATCCAGAACGAAACCCCTCATATCCAGAATGAAACACTTCATATCCAGAACGAAACACCTCATATCCAGAATGAAACACCTTATACCCAAAAGGAAACCCCTCATATTCCGAATGTAACAGAACCAATCTTAGCACCAGACCTGAAACCTGCGGGAGTACAGGCCACGTGAATCACGGATCGTCAAAGGAATCTCCGTGCAGGAGTTCGTTAATCTCGTTCAAGTGAGCATCCATTGGAGATGCCCCTCTCATCTCCTTGACTAGAGCATCCACTTTAACCGCAGCACTGAGCTCCACTCTCCCCACCACCTCGTTCCTGACTCCCTGCAGCTCATTGGAAATCTCTGCCGTGGTGGGTCGGCTTGCAGTGCGCTGCACCGTGCAGCTGAGAGCCAGCTGGGCCAGGCGCAGCACAGCATCATCCGGGGCGTCCATGCTCATCAGCAGTTCCTTGAGGCGGTCCGGGGTGCCAGAAGAGAGGCAAGCCTCCACCTGGTGTATTCAATTAGGTGGGGAAGGCAGCAGGTTGCAAGCAAGATTTGACAAAGACACAATACAACGCTGCCTGCTTGAATTATTTGGTTGGGTGAACCATCGCTACCCTGGAAATGGCAATTCTGAATGCAATATTGGTGCCATGAGCAATCGTGGTGGCTCGTGTAATACTGATGCCATGTCCAGTATTGGTGCCATGTGCAATGCTCACGCCGTGTGCTCCCAGTGGGAATCTTCTCACCTTTATTCTTAGAGGTTGTAGGTTCAAGTCTCAGCATTTGCAATTTCGCCTCTCATATTATGCTCACCAATGTGCCATGCGCAAGAGTGCCACTTTGTGCAATAGTGCTGCCTTGTGCCATGTTGGTGCAATGTGCATCATTCATTTCATATGTAACAGCCATGCCATGTGCATGCCAAGCGCCGGTGAGGCTTACCCATGCCAGAATGTGCACGCTGTCTCCATCAACAATGCTCAATGGCCTTCGTCCAGTGAGCACCACAAGCATAAGCACGCCGAAGCTGCACCGAGGGTGGGATAGTTGATAGCAGTTGGGGTGGTTATCGCATGTACAATATACGGTGGCCATGGCCCATGTGTTACTAGATAGAGCATGATGAAGGTGCGGTGGCATAAGCGCACGATCAATGCATGGTAGGTGAAGCACATGACCAATACACATTTGCAGAATCAGTGTACAAGCATGAGAAGTAAGTGCACACAAACGTGGGAAGTAAGTGCACACAAACATGAGAAGCAAGTGCACAGAAACATGAGATGTATTGTGCGCTTGATCGCCTTGAACACCTCTGAAATCAGCAGTTTTATCAGCATTTTCTTCACCAAGTTCACCTGTAAACATCACTGGCCCTGGTTGCCTTTGACCTCTGCGTGTAGATGGGATCCACATAGCCTGGTGTTCCCATGACTCGAGTGGTCCCCGTGCTCATACCCTCCTCCGCTGTCACAAGTCCAAATTCCGCAACCTTGGCCTGATGGAAGGCATGGCACGAGGGAAGAGGAACTCCATAAATGAAGTACAGACAGACAAACAGGTGTCTTCAAGCTGACTCCACAACTAAGAGTCAGCTCTGTTGTCCCACCAAATATTGTCAAAAATCCCGTTACATGCAACTGTGTTGCACACAGCTCTCTTATAGTGAGTGTTGCATGCATTGCCTGAAATTACACTCATCCCTAGGAAATGATACCTCAGTTTCAGTTTGGAACTTGCAAAGGGCTTGCCTGCATGTTTTGTGTGAGGAGGATGTTGGCGGGTTTGATGTCGCGATGCACTAGTCCAAAGCTGTGGAGGTACGCCAACCCAGCACCAATAAGGATGTCCAGCTGCTGCTTCAAGCTGAGGCGGAAGGGAGCTTCTGCAAGAGTACACGATACGAGTGACACAAAATCATGGAAGAAACACGTCAATCAATTCTCTCATGAAAGAAAAGCTAAAAATGATCTTGGTTTATGGCAACATCATTACCTGTTTTCATCAACTTCTCAAGGCTGTCAATTGAAACAAACTCGTAGATCAAGACATGCTCTGGCTGTGTCTTTATGCCCCCGCCAATGGCGAACCCAAGCAGCCGCACAACGTCGGGATGGTTCTTGTCGGCCATGAGTCGGACCTGCGACAGGCACATGGCATCAACTTGGATAGTTAGCTCCACTCCAGCTGCTGATCTCCATACGGATATACTGCATGTAAAATAGTGACGTAGTGGCATTCAACGTATACATGCTTTTGCAATGGCAGAGAGCTACCTGCATTGTCAAAGCATGCGGCAGGAAAGTTTCTCACCTCTCGCTGGAAGTCAGCATCGAGCAGCTTGGCTCGCTTGACGGCCCACAGTGTGGTGCCATCGCGCGGAGACACGCCCTTGTACACGTCACCAAAGGCGCCCGACCTCAGTTGGTTGCCACTCGCCCAGTTGCTGGTGGCTGTGAGCACTTCCTCCAGGGAGTACTCCGTGCAGTGCAACGCCGCCACACTGCCTGCCGGGCCTCCAGGTTCATGGGATAAGTGAGATAAGGAGCATGGCGTAAGCACGAAGTGTGCTCGAATAAATTGTTCAAGAGTCATAGGTGTGCCTGGCGTACTCCGTGCAGTGCGAGGCCGCCACGCTGCCTGCCAGACCTGCTCATTTATGGTATGAGCCCCAACGGATGCAGCATCAGAGCACTTGCACAGATTTCAGAGCACGGCTTTGCATACGGCATGTTGGGAAGTTGAACCACGGCTTGGAAAAGGCAGGCATCTGCATAGTGTAACATGGCCTTTTCTATTGCTAATGCCTTTTTTCCTTTGCCTTACGATGATCAGCACAAAGAGAGGAAGGAACGGGGGGAGTGCGGGAGGGAGGGTTCCTGGACTTTTGCATCGTACCTTCAGGTTTCATTTGCACTTCGATATCAATCCCGTCGTTGTGTACTGCAGCTGCTCCTCGTGCTGCCTCTTTCGTGTTGCCCCTCCAGCATAGAAGCACGCCAATCAGCAGCAGCAGGGAGGCCACAGCAGCCACGGCAATGCCCGCAATGGCTGCTGCTGAGAGGCCGCCAGACTGGGAGGTGGAAGCTGCAGGCGGGGGGTGCATTGTATGAACGCACGTGGTATGGTAGAATTAGGACAGAACTGCTTGATTCTGCCTTGTTCACCCCTATGCATGGGGAAGTTGAGGCTTAGTGGACACGCCTTTTGTTTTGACAGTCCAGCAGGATGATTGGCCCTGCGGGCAGGTGGATGGAGGGCGGGTCGTGGAAAGATATCGGGACTTGGTTCGCACATCCCACTGCCTTCAAGGCAGGCATGCACTACAAGGGTGGTGGTAGAGGAAGGGATCAGCAAGTCAGGATGAGGTTTGTATCTACGTCAACACAACATTGCCAAGTTGTGTCCTTAGAGGGACCAACTAAAACACTGAAGACCTAAGTTCGGCCGCGCGCACTGCAGACCTAGACCATGTTCCATGGCGCATTCACTATCTTCCACCTTTACAACCCCCACTCGTTCTTTTACTCCTGGGAGGGCGTATGCAGTTCAACTACAACGTGCAATGGTGTAGTTCTCTCTAACAAGGTAGCACGCAAATAATTACATATTATTGGAGCCGAGAGAGAAGACGGAGGAGGAAAATAAATACATACATAATTGAAACAACACAATGTAGATCAAATGCCAGCAACGAGTATTGAACCCAGGTCTGCATTTCAACATGACTGAGTAGACACGTTTGGGATAGATCGAAGAACACCGAATTTTTTGTTGAATCAACTCTATATGAAATAGAAGAAGTTACCGGGACAGCAGTTTTTTGCAGTATAAACTGCACGGGGTAGCAAATTTGATTCAAAACGGCAAGTGCGGCGCTAGTAGCAAGGCACGCGTCGATTACACACCCTGGGAAGTTGTTAGGGGAGCGCAGTCTACTCGTCGTGAGACTGCGACACACAGGATCAGCACGCCGAGCTGAAGGGCCATCGCGTCGAGATGATAATCCGTCGCGATCATCCAAGTTACTTGTACTGAATTGCAAACGTATCTTTTCAAGCTTGAGCTCAAAACTAGGAGTCACCATAGTATGGCTGCTACTAGAAACTCTGGGGTATGCGAGCGAGCAACTGTGCGCCTGCCAGGATGAATTTGTGTCTGAACTGAACTGAGCACAAGGGGTTTCCCAGGGGGGCCACGACGACGATGAGGTCCACTCGATGCTCGCAAAATTGCACAGCCTCCTCAGGGCGGGTCAGGCCTATTTTCGTTTTCAGCTCACGAATCGATGTTCAGGCTGGTGGGTGGCGGTTGAAATCGGTGGAGGAGGCGAACCGCTCCAGAGAGGAATGCATCGGTTTCCACCGCATAACCCGAAATGAGCAAAGATTGACCCGCCCTCAGTCTTGGATACAGTACACTCGACTCGACTCCACCGAACCGACTGTCGAAGTTGTTGGGATTTACGTGTATGGACAACGGCCCAACAAGGCCACGCGGAGAGCACTGTGACGTGGCAACCCTTTGCAAAAGGCAGGAGGAAAAAAAGCAAATAAACCAGCACTGACTCATTACAGTAAAAGCCATTTTGTATTTGATTGGCCAGCCGGCTGGGTTAGGCAACACTTTCGTCATGATGATATCGTCAAGGTTGGCTGGCTGACTATTCCAGTTTCGCTATAAACATGTTTCACTTACTCTGATTACTATTCTACCTCGTCGGGGTAGGCCTACCGTATCTGACACGCTGATTATTCAAGGACTCTGGTCCCTGACCACAATGTGTTTGGTACGCCAACTGAAGGACACAAAGTGATGCTTTATTCAGCAAGCAAGCTGTCACATCAAGGAAACAAAAAAAACAAGCACTACAAGTCGAGCACCCACTTCTTCCCATATTTTCGACAAATATATCAACTTCAAAAAAAAAAAAAAAAAAAAAAAAAAAAAAAAAAAAAAAACATGGTGTCTGCCCTGATGCTGCTTCTGTCACGCTTTTGGATGCAAAATTTTTATGAAAAACACTACCGTAGTTCCTACGTATCCTGTATACAGCCCTGCTTCACTCCACAAGGGGGTATCCCTCGCCCTTCCATGCCTTGAGTCCACCCTCCAAGCTGACCACCTTTGTGAACCCCTGCATTGGCATGGAGAGATGGGGTCATGGGATGGGATGGAATGGTGCTAAGTGCGGCAGGCAGACCGAGCATGAGGCTGTGCATGAGGCTGTGCATGAGGCTATGCATGAGGCTGTGCATGAGGCTGTGCGCAAAGCACATGATACACAAACAGAGAAGCCGCAAGCATCAAATGAGGACACAAGAATGTATGCAACACGAGTCTACACTTTCATACACCGTTCTAGGCACAGCCTTTAATACATGACTCTTCAGCACACTCCACTGTGCACATAATAGTGCCCCATGTAATACATCACACTTCAGCACAGTCCCACCGACATCCATCATCCTATTACATGTACGCCAAAAGTTTTCCACATGCATTTACCCTACCCCATGCCCATCATGCACATGCATGTACCCCACGCATGTACCCTCCCCCTCCCCATCACCAATCCCACTCCCCCTCCCCTCCCCTCCACTCCTCTCCCCTCCCCTCCCATCCCATCCCATGCCATCCCACACCAACCCATCCCCATCCCCATCCCCATCCCCATCTCCGTCCCCATCCCCATCCCCATCTCCGTCCCCATCCCCATCCCCATCCCCATCCCCATCCCCATCTCCGTCCCCATCCCCATCCCCATCCCCACCACCCATCCCCATCACCCACCCCCATCCCCATCCCCATCCCCATCCCCATCCCCATCCCCAACCCATGCCTTACCGCTTCCACCAATTCCTCTGCTGCAACAGCGGCCCTCCGTCCCGCCCAGCACGACTGCATGCCCATGAGACGGTGGGAAGACGAGAGGACAGTCATGAAGATACAAAATGGTGGGACGGGCGAGAGGAAAGAAACAAGGGTTGGGACGAGGAAAGAGGGTTGATATGTGAACAGGAAATTACCAGGTGATTGCCGGAGAAAAGAGAGTAGTGGGAGGGGGCAGCGGAATAAAAAGAGATTAGCAGGAAGAAAGAGGTGCAGAGGAAGCGGTTTAGGCCGACACGTGGAGGAAAAGAAACGTAGAGCGGCGGTAGAGAGAGAGGCAGAGCAGGTAGAGCGGCGGTAGAGAGAGAGGCAGAGCAGGTAGAGCGGCGGTAGAGAGAGAGGCAGAGCAGGTAGAGCGGCGGTAGAGAGAGAGGCAGAGCAGGTAGAGCGGCGGTAGAGAGAGAGGCAGAGCAGGTAGAGCGGCGGTAGAGAGAGAGGCAGAGCAGGTAGAGCGGCGGTAGAGAGAGAGGCAGAGCAGGTAGAGCGGCGGTAGAGAGAGAGGCAGAGCAGGTAGAGCGGCGGTAGAGAGAGAGAGAGAGCAGGTAGAGCGGCGGTAGAGAGAGAGGCAGAGCAGGTAGAGCGGCGGTAGAGAGAGAGAGAGAGCAGGTAGAGCGGCGGTAGAGAGAGAGACAGAGCAGGTAGAGCGGCGGTAGAGAGAGAGAGAGAGAGCAGGTAGAGCGGCGGTAGAGAGAGAGGCAGAGCAGGTAGAGCGGCGGTAGAGAGAGAGAGAGAGCAGGTAGAGCGGCGGTAGAGAGAGAGAGAGAGCAGGTAGAGCGGCGGTAGAGAGAGAGGCAGAGCAGGTAGAGCGGCGGTAGAGAGAGAGGCAGAGCAGGTAGAGCGGCGGTAGAGAGAGAGGCAGAGCAGGTAGAGCGGCGGTAGAGAGAGAGGCAGAGCAGGTAGAGCGGCGGTAGAGAGAGAGGCAGAGCAGGTAGAGCGGCGGTAGAGAGAGAGGCAGAGCAGGTAGAGCGGCGGTAGAGAGAGAGGCAGAGCAGGTAGAGCGGCGGTAGAGAGAGAGGCAGAGCAGGTAGAGCGGCGGTAGAGAGAGAGGCAGAGCAGGTAGAGCGGCGGTAGAGAGAGAGGCAGAGCAGGTAGAGCGGCGGTAGAGAGAGAGGCAGAGCAGGTAGAGCGGCGGTAGAGAGAGAGAGAGAGCAGGTAGAGCGGCGGTAGAGAGAGAGGCAGAGCAGGTAGAGCGGCGGTAGAGAGAGAGAGAGAGCAGGTAGAGCGGCGGTAGAGAGAGAGACAGAGCAGGTAGAGCGGCGGTAGAGAGAGAGAGAGAGAGCAGGTAGAGCGGCGGTAGAGAGAGAGGCAGAGCAGGTAGAGCGGCGGTAGAGAGAGAGAGAGAGCAGGTAGAGCGGCGGTAGAGAGAGAGAGAGAGCAGGTAGAGCGGCGGTAGAGAGAGAGGCAGAGCAGGTAGAGCGGCGGTAGAGAGAGAGGCAGAGCAGGTAGAGCGGCGGTAGAGAGAGAGGCAGAGCAGGTAGAGCGGCGGTAGAGAGAGAGGCAGAGCAGGTAGAGCGGCGGTAGAGAGAGAGGCAGAGCAGGTAGAGCGGCGGTAGAGAGAGAGAGAGAGCAGGTAGAGCGGCGGTAGAGAGAGAGGCAGAGCAGGTAGAGCGGCGGTAGAGAGAGAGAGAGAGCAGGTAGAGCGGCGGTAGAGAGAGAGGCAGAGCAGGTAGAGCGGCGGTAGAGAGAGAGGCAGAGCAGGTAGAGCGGCGGTAGAGAGAGAGGCAGAGCAGGTAGAGCGGCGGTAGAGAGAGAGGCAGAGCAGGTAGAGCGGCGGTAGAGAGAGAGGCAGAGCAGGTAGAGCGGCGGTAGAGAGAGAGGCAGAGCAGGTAGAGCGGCGGTAGAGAGAGAGGCAGAGCAGGTAGAGCGGCGGTAGAGAGAGAGGCAGAGCAGGTAGAGCGGCGGTAGAGAGAGAGAGAGAGCAGGTAGAGCGGCGGTAGAGAGAGAGGCAGAGCAGGTAGAGCGGCGGTAGAGAGAGAGAGAGAGCAGGTAGAGCGGCGGTAGAGAGAGAGACAGAGCAGGTAGAGCGGCGGTAGAGAGAGAGAGAGAGAGCAGGTAGAGCGGCGGTAGAGAGAGAGGCAGAGCAGGTAGAGCGGCGGTAGAGAGAGAGAGAGAGCAGGTAGAGCGGCGGTAGAGAGAGAGAGAGAGCAGGTAGAGCGGCGGTAGAGAGAGAGGCAGAGCAGGTAGAGCGGCGGTAGAGAGAGAGGCAGAGCAGGTAGAGCGGCGGTAGAGAGAGAGGCAGAGCAGGTAGAGCGGCGGTAGAGAGAGAGGCAGAGCAGGTAGAGCGGCGGTAGAGAGAGAGGCAGAGCAGGTAGAGCGGCGGTAGAGAGAGAGAGAGAGCAGGTAGAGCGGCGGTAGAGAGAGAGGCAGAGCAGGTAGAGCGGCGGTAGAGAGAGAGAGAGAGCAGGTAGAGCGGCGGTAGAGAGAGAGAGAGAGCAGGTAGAGCGGCGGTAGAGAGAGAGAGAGAGCAGGTAGAGCGGCGGTAGAGAGAGAGACAGAGCAGGTAGAGCGGCGGTAGAGAGAGAGACAGAGCAGGTAGAGCGGCGGTAGAGAGAGAGGCAGAGCAGGTAGAGCGGCGGTAGAGAGAGAGGCAGAGCAGGTAGAGCGGCGGTAGAGAGAGAGGCAGAGCAGGTAGAGCGGCGGTAGAGAGAGAGGCAGAGCAGGTAGAGCGGCGGTAGAGAGAGAGGCAGAGCAGGTAGAGCGGCGGTAGAGAGAGAGGCAGAGCAGGTAGAGCGGCGGTAGAGAGAGAGGCAGAGCAGGTAGAGCGGCGGTAGAGAGAGAGGCAGAGCAGGTAGAGCGGCGGTAGAGAGAGAGGCAGAGCAGGTAGAGCGGCGGTAGAGAGAGAGAGAGAGCAGGTAGAGCGGCGGTAGAGAGAGAGGCAGAGCAGGTAGAGCGGCGGTAGAGAGAGAGAGAGAGCAGGTAGAGCGGCGGTAGAGAGAGAGACAGAGCAGGTAGAGCGGCGGTAGAGAGAGAGAGAGAGAGCAGGTAGAGCGGCGGTAGAGAGAGAGGCAGAGCAGGTAGAGCGGCGGTAGAGAGAGAGAGAGAGCAGGTAGAGCGGCGGTAGAGAGAGAGAGAGAGCAGGTAGAGCGGCGGTAGAGAGAGAGGCAGAGCAGGTAGAGCGGCGGTAGAGAGAGAGGCAGAGCAGGTAGAGCGGCGGTAGAGAGAGAGGCAGAGCAGGTAGAGCGGCGGTAGAGAGAGAGGCAGAGCAGGTAGAGCGGCGGTAGAGAGAGAGGCAGAGCAGGTAGAGCGGCGGTAGAGAGAGAGAGAGAGCAGGTAGAGCGGCGGTAGAGAGAGAGGCAGAGCAGGTAGAGCGGCGGTAGAGAGAGAGAGAGAGCAGGTAGAGCGGCGGTAGAGAGAGAGAGAGAGCAGGTAGAGCGGCGGTAGAGAGAGAGACAGAGCAGGTAGAGCGGCGGTAGAGAGAGAGAGAGAGCAGGTAGAGCGGCGGTAGAGAGAGAGGCAGAGCAGGTAGAGCGGCGGTAGAGAGAGAGGCAGAGCAGGTAGAGCGGCGGTAGAGAGAGAGGCAGAGCAGGTAGAGCGGCGGTAGAGAGAGAGGCAGAGCAGGTAGAGCGGCGGTAGAGAGAGAGGCAGAGCAGGTAGAGCGGCGGTAGAGAGAGAGGCAGAGCAGGTAGTAGGGGAACGTGTTGAGCGGCGTAGAGAGAGAGGCAGAGCAGGTAGAGCGGCGGTAGAGAGAGAGAGAGAGCAGGTAGAGCGGCGGTAGAGAGAGAGGCAGAGCAGGTAGAGCGGCGGTAGAGAGAGAGAGAGAGCAGGTAGAGCGGCGGTAGAGAGAGAGACAGAGCAGGTAGAGCGGCGGTAGAGAGAGAGAGAGAGAGCAGGTAGAGCGGCGGTAGAGAGAGAGGCAGAGCAGGTAGAGCGGCGGTAGAGAGAGAGGCAGAGCAGGTAGAGCGGCGGTAGAGAGAGAGGCAGAGCAGGTAGAGCGGCGGTAGAGAGAGAGGCAGAGCAGGTAGAGCGGCGGTAGAGAGAGAGGCAGAGCAGGTAGAGCGGCGGTAGAGAGAGAGGCAGAGCAGGTAGAGCGGCGGTAGAGAGAGAGAGAGAGCAGGTAGAGCGGCGGTAGAGAGAGAGGCAGAGCAGGTAGAGCGGCGGTAGAGAGAGAGGCAGAGCAGGTAGAGCGGCGGTAGAGAGAGAGGCAGAGCAGGTAGAGCGGCGGTAGAGAGAGAGGCAGAGCAGGTAGAGCGGCGGTAGAGAGAGAGGCAGAGCAGGTAGAGCGGCGGTAGAGAGAGAGGCAGAGCAGGTAGAGCGGCGGTAGAGAGAGAGGCAGAGCAGGTAGAGCGGCGGTAGAGAGAGAGGCAGAGCAGGTAGAGCGGCGGTAGAGAGAGAGGCAGAGCAGGTAGAGCGGCGGTAGAGAGAGAGAGAGAGCAGGTAGAGCGGCGGTAGAGAGAGAGGCAGAGCAGGTAGAGCGGCGGTAGAGAGAGAGAGAGAGCAGGTAGAGCGGCGGTAGAGAGAGAGACAGAGCAGGTAGAGCGGCGGTAGAGAGAGAGAGAGAGAGCAGGTAGAGCGGCGGTAGAGAGAGAGGCAGAGCAGGTAGAGCGGCGGTAGAGAGAGAGAGAGAGCAGGTAGAGCGGCGGTAGAGAGAGAGAGAGAGCAGGTAGAGCGGCGGTAGAGAGAGAGGCAGAGCAGGTAGAGCGGCGGTAGAGAGAGAGGCAGAGCAGGTAGAGCGGCGGTAGAGAGAGAGGCAGAGCAGGTAGAGCGGCGGTAGAGAGAGAGGCAGAGCAGGTAGAGCGGCGGTAGAGAGAGAGGCAGAGCAGGTAGAGCGGCGGTAGAGAGAGAGAGAGAGCAGGTAGAGCGGCGGTAGAGAGAGAGGCAGAGCAGGTAGAGCGGCGGTAGAGAGAGAGAGAGAGAGCAGGTAGAGCGGCGGTAGAGAGAGAGAGAGAGCAGGTAGAGCGGCGGTAGAGAGAGAGACAGAGCAGGTAGAGCGGCGGTAGAGAGAGAGAGAGAGCAGGTAGAGCGGCGGTAGAGAGAGAGGCAGAGCAGGTAGAGCGGCGGTAGAGAGAGAG